AATCCCAAGATGTCTCATACTGGCTTCCTCTGTGTGCTGTCCACTTCCCTGATCGAGGCAATCCCACCAGCCCTCTGGGCGTCGGTGGTTTAAGGCGTTTCCTCTTCCACCCCTCCCTCTTTCCCTTCGGGGAGGGGTTTACCCCTCCCCCTACCCCCTCCCCGTGGACCTGGACGGGGGGAGCCGCGAGCGGTCAGAGCGTCCAAAACGGCCTCGGCGAGGAAGCCAAAATCATTGATTTTACTAAGATTGTGGCCCCATTTTGGCCTCCTGAGGGGGCAAAGATGGCCCCAAGAAGCGCCCAGGAGGCCCCCAAAGGCCCCAAGATGGCCCCAAGAGGCCCCAAGAGGTCCCCAGGAGGCCCCAAACAGGATCCCGAACGGCCCACAGAGGCCCCCCCGAGGCACCCAAGACGCCGAGAAGCCCCTCAGGACGACCCTCTACTCGCCTGGGCGTCGTTTCTGGACGGGCTGGTGGGGATACGCGAAGCGTCTAGAATTCGATGTTACGCGCTGCGGCGTCAGACCACGCAGCCCTTTGGGCGTGAGTGGTTTAGAGAGCTCTCTCTGTCCTCAACCCCCCATTTTCCCCTTCGGGGAAGGGTTTACCCCTCCCCCTACCCCCTCCCCCTGGACCTGGACAGGGAGTCCGGGGCGTAGTCAGGGGGGTCTTTTTTGACTCCTGGGAGGGCCAAAAAACGACGACCCTCACGAGGATTCTGGCCCCGTCGGGGGGATACAGTTTGGCCCCTCTGCTCTTCTTTGAAGCCAAAATCATTGATTTTACTACGGTTTTGGCCCCATTTTGGCCTCCTGAGGGGGCCGCGCTCATCTTCCTTCATAGCAAAATCATTGATTTTACGAAGGTTTCGGGCTCATTTTGTCCTTATCAGGGGGCAGCGCTCACTTGCGCTTCTGAGGAGGTCGCAAGAGGCCCCAAGATGGCCCCAAGAAGCCCCCAGGAGGCTCCCAAGAGGCCTCCAAGAGCCCCCCAACAGGCCCCCAAGAGGCCCCAAGAGGCCCCCAGAGGCCCCCAAGAGGCCCCCAAGAGGCCCCAAGAGGCCCCAAGAGGCCCCCAAGAGGCCCCCAAGAGGCCCCCAAGAGGCCCCCAAGAGGCCCCAAGAGGCCCCACGAGGAGCCCGAACGACTCACACCAGGACGAGGGGCCCTAACGACTCACACCACGAAGAGCCCGAACGACTCACACCACAAGGAGGGGCCCGAACGACTCACACCAGGACGAGGCGCCCGAAGGACTCACACCACGAGGAGCCCGAACGACTCACACCACGACGCGGGCCCCGAACGACTCACACCACGAGGAGCCCGAACGAGTCACACCAGGAGGAGGGGCCCGAACGACTCACACCAGGATGAGGGGCCCGAACAACTCACACCACGAGAAGCCCGAACGACTCACATCAGGACGAAGAGCCCGAACGACTCACACCACGAAGAGCCCGAACGACTCACACCAGGAAGAAGGGCCCGAACGACTCACACCAGGACGAGAAACCCCGAACGACTCAAATCACGAGGAGCGCTTTCTCTCCCTCCTCCTCCGCCTCGTCCTTCTCCCGTTCCCCCCACAAGGAGGATGTACAAGGAGGCGGGAGGAAGGAGGAACAGGGGAGATATGCGGGGCCAAGCGGACACACGCCTGAAAAACACGACTGTCGCCATGCTTCGCGAGAGTTGCTGCTGTGAGATGGGCTGGTGGGGATACGCGAAGCGTAAAGAATTCGAAGTTACGCGCTGCGGCGTCAGACCACGCAGGTGGAACGAGCTCCCAGACACTGCAGTGAGGATAGGCAAGGTGCACAATGGTCCTGTCGCCAGGGGGTCGCCAAGGGCCAGGGCCGCGTCGACGGCGTAGACCTGCCTGGGCTCGGCTGGGACGGAACGAAGATGGAAGCACAGCGCCCGACGGAAGGCTGGACCACTCCGAGACGCCATGCACGTACCCAGGGGAACATACCAGTCCCGAGCAGGGGCAACGGACCGGCCTGAAGGCGATGGTACCTGCGGGCCCGGCCCACGGCCACACGGCCACGACGTAGCGTCGCAGAGAACCGCGCACTGCGCGGAAAGGGAGCCTGACGGGCGGGGATGGACGTCGCCAGCGCGGCCGGAATAGGCACCAGGGGGCGACAGCGCCAGAAGGCGATCACCCACATTGCGATGCAGGGTCACGGGGTTCTGACAGGCCACCATGCCCGCGCGGGACCCTGCTGCGGCGGGGGCGGCGGGGACAGACATCACCGGCCGGCCACATAGAGGGGCCCGTCAGGAACACCCGGCGCCAGGCAGGGGAAAGGGAGAGGGGCCGGAGCTGAGCTGCGCGCGAAGCGCTCGCTCTTGCACGACATCGGGGGCGGTGAAGTGGGCGGCGTAGGGGACAAGGGAGACCAGGTATGAGTTCCATGCCGCGGCGCTGCGGGTGGGGGACATCTTGGCAAGGTGGAGGGCCATGGCTCTGTTTCTCATCTTGGGGAGGGGCCGCTCCCATGCCCCTCTTGTGAGGGCGCCCGGCTGTGCCTTAGTGAGCTGTTCACCTGGAGGGGATTGTTCGCCCTCCGCGGCGCGCGAGACCACCACTGCGCCGAGGCATGGCCACTGGTCCCGCACGGAGGATCCCCTGAAGGGGGAGTAATCCATGAGGTTGCGCCACCATTCGTGGCGACCTGCGGGGACAAGGGCCGTTTTGAAAGTACAACTACACGGGCGCTGGAATGGGTTGCATGAGTCGATGGCCTGCTGGTCCATGCCCCCCCCGAGGAAGGCCAGAACAAGCTCGCCCGGAAGTCCGGCGATCAGGACACTGTCCCCGTCTTGTTCGAAGTCAACTGGGACTTCCTCGAGAGCCTCCCTGGGGGCTTCTGAATCCGTGGTCCGGATACCTCTGCAACGGTGCGTTTCGACCAGGAGGCAGGCGGCGCGCGCTGCCCAGGGAAGGGCGATGGCGGCGCGCAGCGTCTGTTTAGTTGAGCTGAGCAACGCTGCGAGGTCATCGACGTATGCGGGGTCGTCGTCGGCGGTGATGTTGGAGAGAACGCAAATGAGGGGGTCGTAGCCCATGCACCATAGGAGGGGGGAGGCGGCGCCTCCCATCCCAACGGACCGGAGGAGGCGCCGTTCTGACCCCTTGTACTGACCTTTGCAGGACTGCACCCTTCGCCCGGTAATGAGGGAGTTCAGGGCGTGCAGGAGCCAGGGGGGTAACTTCCATTTGTGAAGGAGGTTTCCCATCCACTGCAGGGAGATTATTTCAAAGGCTTTGGTCGCAGAAGATGACAGCTGTGCTCGGTGCCTCTCCGACTCGTGTGGCCGCCGTGTCGAAATACCTTTCTATGGTGTCCGCGCGCCTGCCAAACAAGGCCTGCCAGGCAGGGTCTGGGTCGGAGGGGGGTTGGGGTCCGTTCCCCAGGTGGTTGGTAACCTTGGCGATGTTGGGCCCCCATTGTCCCCCTTTTTTGGCGGCCTGGCTGGGGGTCAGGAGTGGCTCCACCGCTGGGCCTATCAGGTCGGCGAGGGTGGCTCCGCATATTCGCCTAAGGCATGACGGCAGCTGGAGTGGTCCCATGTCGTTGGGAGTCTCCGCGCCGACCTTCTTACCAATCCACACTAGGAGGTCGACTGATGGGCCCAGCACGGTGTCCAGAACGGCGGGGCTGAGGTCCGCAGCGTGCCAGGCCTGTGCCAGGAGGCAGGCGACGAACCTGGTTCCAGGGTGGTAGGCCTCGTACGGCTCCCCGTCAATTCCCGGAGCGCTTCCGCTGGGGGTGAGGACGAGGGAAGCAATCTTGCCCCATCTGGGCTGGGGTCTGCTCTGGAGACGTTGATGCCGGGGTGCTGCAGCAAGTAGTGATCAAGGAGGCGCGGGGCGGAACCTGGGAGGGGGGGCGCAGGTGTGCCAGATTGCGCTGCGGTTGTCCCAAAGGACGCGGTCGACCTGCTCAAGCCTATCGTGCCAAGAGCCTGTGGTGTCACTGGTGGGCCTATTTTTTTGTGTTTCTTTTCAGCCGCAGGCGGAAGCGCCGGCGGCGGCGGGACACGGTCGGGCTGCGGCCGTGACAAATTAGCTGGGCGCGCGCGGGGGGCACTGGTGGGGATACGCGAAGCGTCAAGAACTCATAGAAGCATTGTACCGTTGACTCCAGGTTGTCTCCAAGGAGGTTTTTTGCGTCGAGCCTGCAAGAGGCCACCCAACTATTTGCCAGAAAAACGTTAATTATACAGCGGTTGTCGCCACCCCCCCCATCTGCGTGTGACTCTGCACGCTATCTTCTGGTCTGGGCTACTCTCCATGAATTCGTTTCTGGATCGGCTGCAGTGATACTTGGCAGGCGGCGAAAGGGGGTCCGGGGCACGGGCCAGCCGAATTAGCTACTAGGCGCAACGCGAGCCAGCTGGGCCAGCACTCAGAAGCGGCAGCTGGGGAGCAGCAACGGCAGGTGGGGCTGACTGGCTGGTCTGCAACGCCCAGGGAAGCTGATGCATCGAGCAAACCTGTGGCAAAATGCCAGAGAATTACGAACTGAAAGACGAAGCGCCAGTCCACCACGGTGTAGGTGCCATGCCGCGTACTGAGAACCCTCCTGGTGGTGATACGCGAGGCGTCTAAAAAATGTATGCATGCTCCTCCTGGAGATGCCGCACTGATATGCAATGTGGTCACTCGATCGCTCCTCCTCCTCCTCCTCCTCCTGCTCCTCCTCCCCCTGCTCCTCCTAATGATACTCCTCCTTCTCCTCCTCATCATCAGCATCATCAGCATGATCATAATCATAGTCCTCTCATCCTCATCATCAGCAGCAGCATCCGCCGCAGCGGCATCCTCACCATCCTCATCCTCAGCAGGAGCATCATCATCCTCATCATCATCACCATTATCAGTATCATCTTCATCAGCATCAGCAGCATCAGCAGCAGCATCATCATCATCAAAATGATCACCATCATCATCCTCCCCCTCCTGACTTGAAGCCCCGCAGGCGGCACCAGTCCCTCTGGCTCTCCGACCACGCCCTGGCCCGCTCCGAGTAGCCCGCCGCGCAGTCGAAGGCGGCGGTCGTGGCGCAGCCCCGGCCCTCGTGGCGGCAGCACCACGCCTGCTTCTTGGGCGACCTTGCCAGTCACGGGCGGCCATCGGCGGCCTTCGGCGGCCATCGGATATCTTCTTCGGCGGACATCAGCACCTTCGGCGGCCCACGGAAGCCATCGGCGACGGCGGCAGAGGAGGGAGGAGTAGGAGAAGAAGGAGGAGGAGGAGAAGGAGAAGGAGCCGGAGGGGAGGAGCAGCGGGAGAGGGAGGGGGAGGAGGAGGAGGAGGAGGAGGAGGAGGAGGAGGAGGAGGAGGAGGAGGAGAAGCAGGAGGAGAAGGAGGAGGGGGGGGGGAGGAAAAGGAGGAGGCGGAGGAGGAGAAGGAGGAGGGGGATCGGGGGAGACTTTGACGTTTTGTGAACCCTTTTCGGGCCTCTCTGCTGGATCCGCCTCGAGCCGACTTCAAAGAAGAAGAAGCGGAGCTGGGCGCCGAGTGCAAGGCGTCGGAACGCACGGACGCCCTCAATTTATACAGGGCAGTTTTTAATACATAGGATTTGAAAAATATCGGATATTTAATACATGAATAATTCATGAATGAATGCATGCATGAACTCATCGTTGTTTCTAATACTGACTCCCTGCATTTTTAATACATGATCCGCACGCGGAGCATGTATTAAAAACGGCACTGTAGGCAGACGGGTCGACAAATGCCTCTGTCGCAACCGCATGCACAGGAGGGCCGGGGAGGACCGAGGGCCACAGACGATCGAAGAGACGAGATGGGTCTAGGAGACGAAGAGGGCCGACGAGGCGAGGAGGATCGAAGACAGTAAAGGAGGAGGACGGCGAAGGGGAGGAGGAGGAGAAGTGCGAGGACGGCCAAGGCAGGGGAGGTGATCACGCTCGCATACATCCCTGGGCCGAAAGTTTGTTCCTCTTGCATGGGAACGCATGGATCCATTTGGATCCAATTACGTGTGTGCAAGAGTCACGTGGATCCATTTTCCGTGTCTTCTGGATCCAATGTTTTGGCGTGGAAGCTTCGTGGATCCAATTCTTTTCCTGGGATCAACTTATAAAATACTTAATATGGGAGGCTTGGAAACCAGGGGGCTGCCTCCAGTGGGGATGTGATCCTAGATTCCGGCGTTGGTGGAAATATTTCGGCCACCTTGGAAGCCAGAATATTACCACCATCACCGAGATCGGGATCTTCTTCCCTCGGTGGAGGAACACCGCCGATCTTGGTGTTGGTGTCAACCTCTAGGCCTGCGATAGTACCAGGGACCCAAGGGGAAATAGATCCACGGAGCCGTGGACCTGCAGCCCAAGCTATGATTCTACGGGGGAGGGGTTTCCCTACCGAGAGACACAACACACGGGGACGAGTAGGGAAACACAAACCAGGGGCGGGCGAAGAGGATGGGCCTGGTCACCTCTCCGAACCCCTCCCATAACATGTCCTTGCTCAAGCGCCACAGCTGCCCCGGCCAACTCCCGCAGCCTCCATAAGCGCCACAGCGGGCCTGGCCAACTCCCGCAGCATCCCATAACACATGCCGCACCCCACCTCGACGCGAGCGCGACATGATCGCTGCGTCCGCATCCGCTAAAGTCAACGACACTTAGCATTTGTCATGTGGGCCTCAAGGGGAAATCTTTCGGCCTGCTCAATGGGGGTTTTGACCCCCGTCTGCCCCGCCAACGCGTGCAGCGTTGCATGCTACGTGTACTGTGGGGTTTTGACCCCCGTCTCCCCCGCCAACACGTGCAGCGTTGCATGCTACGTGTACTGTGCCACCACCACCCCTGTACTGAAGGGCAGAAGGGGTGCAAGATTCTTCAGTGGGGCTTTGACCCCCGTCTCCCCCGCCAACGCGTGCAGCGCTGCATGCTACGTGTACTGTGGGGTTTTGACCCCCGTCTCCCCCGCCAACACGTGCAGCGGTGCATGCTACGTGTACTGTGTCACCACCGCCCCTGTGCTGAAGGGCAGAAGGGGTGCAAAACTCTTCAGTTTGACCCCCGTCTGCCCGGCCAACGCGTGCAGCGTTGCATGCTACGTGTGCTGTTGGGTTTTGACCCCCGTCTCCCCCGCCAACACGTGCAGCGTTGCATGCGACGTGTACTGTGCCACCACCACCCCTGTGCTGAATGGCAGAAGGGGTGCAAAACTCTTAAGAGGGGTTTTGACCCACGTCTGCCCCGCCAACGCGTGCAGCGTTGCATGCTACGTGTACTGTGGGGTTTTGACCCCCGCCTCCCCCGCCAACACGTACAGCGTTGCATTCTACGTGTACTGTGCCACCACCGCCCCTGTGCTGAAGGGCAGAAGGGGTGCAAAACTCTTGAGTTTGACCCCCGTCTGCCCCGCCAACGCGTGCAGCGTTGCATGCTACGTGTGCTGTGGGGTTTTGACCCCCGCCTCCCCCGCCAACACGTGCAGCGTTGCATGCTACGTGTACTGTGCCACCACCGCCCCTGTGCTGAAGGGCAGAAGGTATGCAAAACTCTCCAGTCGGATTTTGACCCCCCTCCCCCGCCAACGCGTGCAGCGTTGCATGCTACGTGTACTGTGGGAGTTTGACCCCCGTCTCCCCCGCCAACACGTGCAGCGTTGCATGCTACGTGTACTGTGCCACCACCGCCCCTGTGCTGAAGGGCAGAAGGGGTGCACAGAACTCTTCATCCCCAGGCCGACAGTGTTTCCCTCTTGCGTGGGAACACACGGATCCATTTGGATCCAATCACGTGTGTGCAAGAGTCACGTGGATCCAATTTCCGTGTCTTCTGGATCCAATTGTTTGGCGTGGAAGCTTCCTGGATCCAATTCTTTTCCTGGAATCAAATTATAATAAGAATTGGTACCAGGGACCCTAGGGGAAATGGATCCACGGAGCCGTGGACCTGCAGCCCAAGCTATGATTCTACGGGGGAGGGGTTTCCCTACCTAGAGACACAACACACGGGGACGAGTAGGGAAACACAAACCAGGGGCGGGCGAAGAGGAAGATGAGGGAGGACGGACGGCGGGCCTGGCCACCTCTCCGAACCCCTCCCATAACATGTCCTTGCTCGAGCGCCACAGCTGCCCCGGCCAACTCCCGCAGCCTCCATGACATGTGGGTGCTCGAGCGCCACAGCGGGCCTGGCCATCTCCCGCAGCCTCCCATAACAATTGCCGCACCCCACCTCGACGCGAGCGCGACATGACCGCTGCGTCCGCATCCGCTAAAGTCAACGACGCTTCGCATTTGTCATGTGGGTCTCAAGGAGGGAAATCGTTCGGCCTGCTCAAGTATGGCGGGGACGCACGTGGCAGGGGGCGGAGAGGTGGACCGTGGGCAAAATAAGGGCAGGGGGGCGAGGAGGCAAGCGAGGGAAGGGCATGAGGAGGGAGGCGCAAGGAAGGCAGAGGGGGGGGCGACATAGGACGGGAGAAGAGAACAGAAGGGAGGGAGGCTGAGGCGAAGAGGCGGGCGGAGAGGAGCAGAGAGGAGGAGAAGAGAGAAGAAGGGAGGAGGAGAAGGAAGACGACGAGGAGGAGGCTGAGGCCGGGGCAAGAGGGCAGACGAGGAGGAAAGCGAGAACAAGTGAGGGGGTAGGGGCAACTAGGGGGGGATCAGGAAACAAGGAGTGGGTAGCAGGAGGGGGGGCAGGGGGGAGAAAGGAGGTGGGAGGACAAGGAACGGAGGCACGAATAAGCAGAGGAGGGGCGGACCGAAGAGGGAGTTGACTGCTGCTGTCTGAATCGGATGCGGCTCAGACCGTCCCCACTAAGGAGGGAGGGGGGAGGAGGACCTCGAGGAAGAGGACAAGGCAGGAGAGCCCAGAATCGAATCGATAAGTCGGGTCGGCGATCGAAATTGATTGGATCGGCGGAAATCGGCAGACGAGTCGGGAAAAGTCGGTCCGGCTGAAATCGACAGGCTGGCAGGCCTCCGTTGAGAAATCGGACCCCAAATCGGAATCCCAAGTCGAATCGACTCGGAATCGGAATCGATCGAAATCGAATCGCATCGAATCGAAAGAATCGAAACGAGCCCTAATTATCAGGCAGATAAGGAGAAGGTAGCAGCCGCAGCAGCAGGCAATGGACGAACGATGTTTTACTACAAGTTCGCGTCGTGATGAAGCCGGCGTTGGTTTCTGACACAGCGCGAAGGTCGTCCAACCTTGCACGAACGCGGCTTTCCGATAGCGCAGATCTTTCGATGTCGGCCAACTCCAATCAACAGGCGGCGTCGAACCTTGAACGCCCGCGGCGGGGCCGCCTCCGCGTCGACACGACACGGACCTGCTGCACCCCTGCTCCAACCTCCGACCCCACTGGGGGAGGGCAGAGCGGGGGCACGTTGCCCTCTGGAGGCCAAGTTTTCCGTCCACGGCCTGTTTTCCCCCCCTTGGCGTCGAACGCGTGATGCAGCAGCGGGGAAGCGCAGAACCGCGAGGAGAGGATCGGCGGCGAGCCCAGGGGGGAGAGAGAAGGGGCGAGCCTTCTCAGAGGGCTAGAAAGTCCCCCAGCCTTCCCCGAAGACACAGAGAACCTCTCAGAAGGCCAGAGGGCCTCTGAGAAGCCCCACCGCCTTCTGAGAAGGCCTTCTTCCTTAGGCGAGCAGCATGGACAGGGCTCGCAGCGTCAGTGAACAGGCCGCCGAACGAAGAGCAGGAGGAGGAGGCCGAGCGCGAGGCCACTCCTGGGCCCAGTTCCACAGCTCGGCCGAGCAGTCGTACCGGGCGAGTCCTGCGGCGCTCACCTTGCTCGTGCTGGTGAGTGTCCGCCACCGCGCAATGCGGCCGCGGCGGGGAGGGGGAGGAGGGAGGAGGGAGGACGGAGGAGGAAGTTCGGATGAGGACGAGGAGGATGAGGAGGAGGAGGGAGAAGGAGGAGGAGGAGGAGGAGGAGGAGGGAAGAGGAGGCAGAAGACGAGGACGCGGACTAGGAGGAGCAGCTAATATTGGCTGGCATCTCTGGCCTCTGAGGCCCCCTCTTCGCCACGGCTGGATCCGCCTCGAAATCCTCGTCGGCTCGCGCTGCGACACATGTCTGGGAGTCGACTCGGAAGAAGGTCCCTGGAGGTCCTCTGAGACCACCGAGCACCTCCAGTGAATTCTGAAGGCCCGAAAGTGGCCAGTGCAATATATGTGTATATATATATATATATATATATATATACAAAGTCGTTCATCGAACCTCGATCCTTCGCCCTCGGCTCGTCGTCTTGCTCTGGCAGGCCTGCGTGGCGCACGGAGAGAGGAGAGAGGGAAGATTCTGTCATCGCGCTACCAAGAATCGAAAGGGCTTTCCTGGAAAGGCGAGCCTCGGCCAGGGTCGGGTTCCTCGACCAAGATATGTATTAGACTGCACGCCTATATATATAAATATATATGTCTATGTATATATATGTATGTATATGTGTATGCAAACATGCATGCATACATACCTACACACACATACATACATGCATACATACATACATACATACATACATACATGCATGCATGCATACATACATACATACATACATACATGCATAAACACATACATATATACATTCATACATACATACAGACATACATACATACATGCATGCATGCATGCATGCATACATATATACATACATACATACATACGTGTATACATACGTACATACATACCTACATACATACATGCATATATATACACATACATACAAACATACATACATACACACATACATACCTACATAGAGACATACAGGCGTGCATGCATACATACATACATACATGTACATACATACATACATATACATGTACATAAACATATATATAGATAGATATATATATATACATATGTATTTACGTACACGTGCACATACATCTATATATATACAAATACATATAACTTAACATATGCATTTACACATACGTATACATATACATAACCATATACATATACATATAACTATACATAAATATAAATATATATACGTATACACATACACATGCATATACATATACATACACATGTACACATACATATACACATGCCTACAAATACACCTACATCTACACATACACATGCACATACACATATACATGTACAAATGCATATACACATTTATGTACATATGCACATACACATGTACAAATACATATACATATACATGTACATATGCATATACATATACATATGCATACACCTACACATACACATACACATACACATACACATGCACATACATGAATACATATACACACATGTATATACATACATACATACATACATACATACACACACACATACATACATACATACATACATACATACATACATACATACATACATACATACATACATACATACATACATACACACACACATATATGTACAACCCTACATGCATACATATATACATACATACATACGTACGTACGTACGTACGTACATACATACATACATTCATACATACATACATACATTAAACGGCCCGAAAACCAGAGCACCGCCTGAGCCACAAAAGGTCCGCATTTCAGCGTCCGTCTTGACTCCCGGACCACCCTGCCGACATGTCTAGTGGTGCGCAGGCGCGGGATTACGCTGAAGGGACATGGACGGGAGGACAGGGGAGAAGGAAGAAAAGAATAGGGAGACAGACGCAGAAGATGAGGAAGGAGTACCCGTTGGAAGGGAGGAAGGGCAGAAAAGGAGAAAGAGGGAGACAGCGGAGGGGCGGAAGAGGAGGACGAGGAGGTACCGGGGAGGGGGGGAGACGGAGGAGGGGTGATCAGAGCAGTGAGGAGCGGAGCACCACGCTCGCCTGCAGCGCACTGCCCCTGTCAAGAGAGATGCGCCCCTCCGACAGCACCGATCTCGAGAGGAGGAGGAGTAACCCATAAGGGTCTTTAGATAACCCCCTCAGATAGGGGATAACTAATTATTTGTTCGGCGACCTTATTGAAAGACTGGGGTGCCACCAATAGCAAAAATTCATTAAACACCCGCCGAGCAACAACGACGACGACCACCACCACCACCACCACGACGACGACGCCGACGACGACGCCAACGACTATGATTGCGACTATGATTGCGACTACGACTACGACGACTACTACTACTACTACTTATGCTTCCTGGGCGAGAGGAGGAGGAGGAGGAAGAAAAAAAGGAGGAGGAGAAGGACCAATTCTATTCACCGCCGAAACAAATCGGGGGGCATCAAAACAAACAAAAAAAAAGTTAGGGGTTAGGAGGAGGATTGCCGCCATGTTGATTTTTCCCTTCACCCTCAACAATCCCCCGACAACGGGCGACTCCTGGAGCGAACACTCCAGGAGTTGCCCAGCTCTTAACTTGATGAACCCACCAGGGCCGACCGGCCCCAGGAGGGGGGAGGGCGGCGTCCGACGGACTCCTGCGCCCTCGGCTGCTCAGCTGCTCGGGAGGGAGGGAGGAGGATCGAGGGTCGAGTGGGCTGGGAGCGCTTGCCGAACCCGCCGCTGCTCGACAAGCCTTCTCTGATCCTCTGGCGGCCGCGGACTAAAAAAAAAATCTGAAGCGCTTGCGACCTCTCCAAACCCAAGGAGGATGACGAGGAGGACGAGGAGGAGGAGGAGGAGAAGCAGGAGGAGGAGGAGGAGAATGAGGAGGAAGAGGGGTAGAAGGAGGAGGAGGAGGAGGAGGGGGAGAAGGAAAGGAGGGGGCTCAGGACCTCTCCCAACGGAACCGCGCCCCGCAGAAAGCGGCCCCGCGCCCCCGAGCACGGGTCCCGCTGCGGCGCCCCGACGCTGCTCCGCAAACGCGGTGGCGGATGCACGCGGCAGCGTGGCCGGATACTCGCAGACGTGGACGCGGTTACCGTGGATGCTGATGTTGTTGCCGTAGGCGATATCGCTGTTTCCGTTGCGTTTGTCTCCGAAGTTATGGCAACGCCACAGCCGACGCCCACGTGCTGGCAGCACCACGCTTGCTTTCTCCCCGACCACCCCTGTTCCCACTTTGCCCTTCCAGCGTCGCAGTCGAAAGGTGCTGATTTCGCGTATGGCTTCGTTGTTGTGATAGTGGACGTTGCTGTTACGAGGCGCACGAGGCACCCGAAGTCTCTGTGATTGCAGCACCACGCCTTCTTCTCCGCCGACCAGCCCTGTTCCCACTTTGCTCTGCCGGCGTCGCAGTCGAAGGGTACAGAGGAAGATGCTGTCGTTGCTGTAGCCGTTGTCGTTGCTGCTGCTGTTGGCGGAATCGCTGTTCCTGCTCCGTTTGACTGAACACCACAGCCGAAGCTCGCGTGCTTGCAGCACCACGCCTTCTTCTCCGCCGACCAGCCCTGTTCCCACTTTGCTCTGCCGGCGTCGCAGTCGAAGGGTACAGAGGAAGATGCTGTCGTTGCTGTAGCCGTTGTCGTTGCTGCTGCTGTTGGCGGAATCGCTGTTCCTGCTCCGTTTGACTGAACACCACAGCCGAAGCTCGCGTGCTTGCAGCACCACGCCTTCTTCTCCGCCGACCAGCCCTGTTCCCACTTTGCTCTGCCGGCGTCGCAGTCGAAGGGTACAGAAGAAGATGCTGTCGTTGCTGTAGCCGTTGTCGTTGCTGCTGCTGCTGCTGCTGTTGGTGGAATCGCTGTTCCTGTTCCGTTTGACTGAACACCACAGCCGAAGCTCGCGTGCTTGCAGCACCACGCCTTCTTTTCCGCCGACCAGCCACGCTCCCAACTGGCTCTGCCAGCGTCGCAGTCGAAAGGTAACGATGAGGATGCTGCCGTTGTTGTAGTCGTCGCCGCTGTTGTTTCTGATGTTGCGGGCAGATTGTACCGACGTCGATGTTGCTGCTTTACCAGTGTTGCCGTCGATGTTGACGTCGAGGCCGCGGATGTTGCTGTTGTTGTTGATATTGTTGTTGTTGGTGGTGGTGGTGTTGCCGTTGTAGTTGGCGTTGCTGCTAAAGGCGGGACGACGCAACCAAAGTCCTCGTGCTTGCAACACCACGCCTTCTTTTCCACCGACCATCCCTGTTCCCAATTTGCTCTGCCGGCGTCGCAGTCGAAAGAGGCGTACGCATTGTCTGTGGTGGTGTCTGCCATCATTGCCACTGTTGTAAGAGATGTGTTTGTTGACATGCGCTCTGAGGTGGTTGTAGTCGACCTGTGGTCGGCACAGCCATATGACGTGTGCTTGCAGCACCAAGCCTTCTTTTCAACTGACCACCCCCGTTCCGACCTGGCTCTGCCAGCATTGCAATCAAAAGGCAAGGAGATGGTGCTAGAAGCTATAGTCGTTGTCACTGTTGACGACGACGATCCCGCTGAGTCCACAACGCACCCAACGCCTGCGTGCCTGCAGCACAAAGCTTTCTTTTTTGAAGACCACCCTTGCTCCGACTTAGCACTGCCTGAAGTGCAGTCAAGTTCCGTCGAGCCTGTGATTGTCATTGTCGTCGCAGGCAAAGATATTGTAGTTGTCACCGCCAGGGGTTCTTCCGAAGACGCAGCGACGTGAGGTGAAGAGGATGTTGGCCCATGACAGAAAGCTGTCTGTGCAGGCGTCCAGTCTGCGGGAAGGTTCGTGCGAGAGCCTACACAATCGTACAGCGGTTTGCTGTCAGATGGTGGCCCTGGCGATCCGTGGCCAACGCTCGTGTGCTGTTGAGTGTGTGGGGTGGCCGCGCCAGCTCCCAGCGCGTCAGGTGGCGGTGTCGGTGTCGGTGCTGTGGTGCGCTGTGCGCTGTCGGTGGGTGAGGTCGCTGCGCCAGCTCCCAGCGAAGGGACCACGGAAACAACCGGCTGGGCGGGCGGCTCGACTGCTTCGACACGGTGCGCTGCAGCCTTCAATGGGCTGATCGCTCTGAGCTGCGACACGAACTCGTCGACGAGATCCTGCGCGGACGCTTGCTGCAGCGACTCCCGGATGAGATCCGTCTTCTGGTCGCAGTAGTGGGGCGGCGACTGCACCGCTGGGAGGCAGTGCCCGGCTATGGTGTAGGCCACCTGGACCTGCGCCTGCCCCGACGACAGGCGCCTGCCGCTGCCAGGCGCCACCTCGGATACAGCAATTGGGAACCGACCACAAGAAACCTTCCAAGAGAAAGCCAACCCTGAGACCCCAGAACGTCCACTGATTTTTGGTACGAGGACGTCACGCCTTCCATGGCAGAACCATCGGAATCCAAGGAACTCAGGGCACCCTGGAGGCAAGCACGGTGTTTCTTGGCATGGGTCCCCACTGTAGGACAGAAGACTGCGTAATCACAACCTCTTGGAGGCCCCCGCGGATCTCATGGGGCGGGGCGCGCGGAGCGCGCCAGGAGGCTGCGCCTCCGTGGGGGGGAGGGGCCAAGCGGCGCCCGACAAAATCCGCACGACCCCCCCGGAGCTGCGCATGCCGTCTTCTGGTAGTCAACCACCGACAGGCGCACGTCCACGTTCTCGTCGCTGACTCCCGCACGCCTGGCGATCGCGGACCGGAAGGCCGCTTTTCGGGGGGCGCCCAATGACCGCCCCACCGATCCTGGCGAGGCCCAGGCTGGGGACTCGGAACAGGGCGAGCAGAGACGACCGCAGTTCAAAGCCGGCCCACCGATCCCTCCCGGGGTCCACGCGCACCCTGGGGAAACCAAGAGGTACCGATACCACTACTCCCCAGGCCTCTCCCAGGGTGCGTTCTGACCAAGATTCCGAGGCGAATCCAACGGCGGCGGCGAGGGCTTCGCAGGAGGCCCGAAAAAGGGGGAAACGGGCGAGCGGGTAGAGGATGGGCACCTTTCCCTCCTCTGACACCCGTGTCCCGAGCTGCGCCCCGCCACGGCAACCAGGGGGGCCCCCCCGCGGGCCACGCACCGCAGCCTCGCCTCTCGCCCTCCTCCGATGGGGCCCCCCGCCGGGCTGGGCGAGGCGGCTCCACGGGCGCCCCCCGAGCTCGCACGTCCTCGTCGCCCGCGAAGGCCGCCGCGCCGGCGGCCTCGTGCAGCACGGCGAAGGCGCCCTGCAGCTGCGGCGCCGCCGGGGCGCCCTCGGGCACGGCGGGCGCTGGCGGCGCCTCGGCGGCGCGCGGGGGGGCGGGGGGCGCCAAAGGCCCCGAGAGCCGGGGCGACTCCAATCTTCAGAGCCCGGCGTTGTCGCTCCATTTCGGGCCGGGAGGCCCTTCGAGCCGGGCGTCTTCGCTCCATGTCGGGCCAGGGAACCGGGGCTCCTGTCGTGATTTTCTGCGGCGCTGCAATTTGTCCCCATATCCTGAGGATGGGGCTCGTGTGATTCCCCATGTCCTGAAGATAGGGGCTCTTGTTATTCTCCATGTCCAAAGGATGGGATTATTGTTATTACCCCGACCACGCCAACTCCCTCCATCACCTCCCTCCTCACCCTCCTCCTCCTCCTCCTCCTCCTCCTCCTCTCCTCCTCTCCTCCTCCCTCCTCCCCTCCTTCTCCTCCCCCTCCTCCCCCTCCTGCTCCTCCTCCCCCTCCTCCTCCTCCTCCTCCTCCTCCCCGCTCCTCCTCCCTCCTCCCCCTCTGCTCCTCCTCCCCCTCCCCCATCCCGCTCCTCCTCATGTTATGTTATGGTATATTATGGTATGGCATGTTATGGTATGGCATAGTATATGATGTGACGGTATGCTATGTTATGATATGGTATGGTATGATATGGTGTGTTATGTTATGGTAGGTTTGTGTATTAATGGTATGTTAACTGGCAATGTTAATGTTTATGATATGCTACGTTAGGTTGTGCTGTGATGAAGCAGGTGACGATGATGATGGTGGTGATGATAATGATGGTGGTGATGATGGTGATGGTGATGATGATGATGATGATGATGATGATGGTGATGATGGTGATGATGGTGATGTTGATGATGCTGATGATGATGATGCTGATGATGGTGACGATGATGATGATGATGGTGATGATGATGATTATGATGATGATGACGGTGATGATGATTATGTTGAAGGCGATGATGATGATGATACCGATGATGCTGGTGATGATGATGATGATGATACTGATGATGCTGGTGATGATGATGACGACGGTGATGATGACGACGGTGATGATGACGACGGTGATGATGATGATGATGATGCTGATGATGATGGCGCTGATGATGATGATGATGATGATGATGATGATGATGATGATGATGGTGATGATGATGATGATGATGATGATGATGATGATGATGATGATGATGATGATGATGATGGTGGTGGTGATGATGATGGCGGGGCTAATTCTGAGGATGCCTCTAGCAAAGCGCGGGTTTGAGCACCCCCCAAGGGGAGCTGTCAAGGGGTGTTGCACTCCTCCGTTCGCGCCAAAATGGCGAGGATGTCTCGAACGGTTTGCCTGTTTGCATGCGCAACATCCTCAGCTTTCGGCGCCGAGTTTGAGGATGTATCGAGCGAGGCGCTGATTTTCGCCCCCCAGGGGAGGCAGGGGGGGGGGGGGGGGCAGATCGTGTTTTGATGGCAAGACTCGTGGGCACAAATCCTCCCCAGGATGACACAGGCTTCAGCAGGCTCCAGGAGGCACCGAGAGGCCACAGGAGGTCCCAGGAGGCATCAGGAGGCCACAGGAAGGCTAAAGAAGGCCTCAGGAAGCTCCAGGAGGCCTGAGGCTCAAGGATGATCCAGCAGGCCACAGGAGGCCCTAGAAGGCCACATGAAGCGACAGGAGGCACCAGGAGGCCACAGGAAACGCTAGGAGGCACCAGGAGGCCCGAGGAGCAGGAGGCCTCAGAAGGCAGCAGGATTGGCTCGAACCCCATGTGGTGTGCGTTTGCTCCTATAGATTAGGCCTCACCTGGAGCACGGATTATTGGTGTGCTAGGTATGGTTCTATAGATTGCCCTTCTCCTCTGTATCCAATCCTAATTGGTTTACGTATGTTCCTACAGATTGGGTCTCACTTGGAGCACGAGTCCTTGGTGTGTTACGTGTGTTCATACATGTTGTCATTCTCCTGTGGCTCCAATCCGCAATGTTTTATGTACGTTTGTTCCTATAGAATGGGCTTCCCTGGGGGCACGAATCCTCACCAGGCCCCAGGAGGCTATAGGAAGCTCCTGGAGGCCCCAGGAGGCAACGCGAGGCCCCAGGAAGCAATTGAAGGCCACAGGAAGCCCCAAGAGGCCCCAGGAGGCCCCAAGAGGCTGCAGGAGGCCCGAGGAAGCCCCAGGAGGTTTCAGGAGGCCCGAGGGGTCCTCAGGCTCATGCGCCGAGACGCGCTCGTACTACTGAGACTCATTCGCACTCCAACTCGTTCACAAATATATTCACTCCCAGACCGTCGATATTCAAGCCCGCTTGTGTTCGAAAACTCTCGCGTCTAGACACTCACGGCGGACAGGTCCACGATAACTAATAGATGCACGTATGGGGAGCTCCACGCAGTGAACACTTGCTCTGACCGCGCCGACGCCTCACTCACTCACTCACTCGCTCTCCTCATCCTCCTCCTGCTCCTCCTGCTCCTCCTCCTCCTCCTCCTCCTCCTCCTCCTCCTGCGTCTCCGCCTCCACCTCCTCCTCATCATCACCCAGAGTCACTACCGGGGTCACGACTCAGGTTATGGTCTGATGGTGATGCTGAGCATGATGATGATGGTGATGCTGATGGTGATGACGATGACGATGACGATGCCGACGATGATGACTATGATGATGGTGTTGATGATGGTGATGATGGTGATGGTGATGGTGATGATGATGATGATGACGACGATGGTGATAATGATGATGATGGTGAAGATGATAATGATGCTGGTGATGGTGATGATGATGGTGATGATGATGATAATGATGATGATGATGAGTGTGATGATGAGTGTGATGATGAGTGTGACGATTACGATGCTGATGATGATGATGGTGGTGGTGGCGGTGATGGTGATGTTGACGGTGAAGATGATGGCGGTCAAGATAGTGATGCTAGAAAATACAAAGATGATGATGATGATGATGATGGTGATAACGATGGTGATAATGATAATGATGACTGGTGGTACTGATGACGATGCTCATGATTGTGGTGGTGATGATGGTGATGACGATGATGATGATGATTGATTACGATAGTGATGAGAATGACCATGGTTTGGGGAATGATGATGATTGTAATGCTAATGATGGTGATGATGATGATGCTGATGATGATGATAACGGTGATGATGGTGGTAGCGGATGCTACAACTGTTGATATGTGAAACGAGGATGATGATGGTGCTGATGAAGGTAACGATGATGATGCTGCTGATAATGATAATGATGAACAACATGATGATGATGATGATGATGATGATGATGACGACGATGACGATGACGATGACGATGATGATGATGATGATGATGATGATGATGATGACGATGATTATGATAATGATGGTGACGGAGCAGAATTGGAGGATGACTCGGGCGAGGCGCTGGTTTCAGCACACCCACGGGGGAGGCCGCCCCGGGGTATTGCGCGGGCCCGTTCGCGACCAGATTGCGGGAATGTCTCGAGTGGCTTGCGTGTTTCACCACCCGACATCATCCACTGTCGGAGCAGATGGTGAGGATGTCTCGAGCGAAACGCTGGCGTCAGCACACTCAAAGGGGGGGCCGCCAGAGGGGTATTGCACGGGACCGTTCGAGCCCAGATTGCGAGGATGTCTCGAGCGGCTTGCCTGTTTCACCACCCGGCATCCTCCGCTTTCAGAGCAGATTTTGAGGCGGTGGTTTTCGCACCCCAGGGGGCCCAGATTGCGAGGATGTCCCAGACTCACTTATGCTTAAATTCATTCGTGCTCAGACTTACACATACTCTGACTCGTACTCATCCTACCCATATGCAGACTCACTCACACCCAGCCTTACGCACATTGATCTTCACTCACACTTAGACCCACCAACCCTCAGACTCACTCATAGTCAAACCCACCCATACTCAGACCCTCTCAGACTCAGATTCATACTCATCATACGAACATTCAGAATCACTCACACTCAGACGTACTCACATTCAGTAACACTCACACTCAGACCCACCCAACCTCAGATTCACCGGTAGCAGACTCACTCGTACTCAAACCCAGTCTGACTCGTTCGCGCCAGATTGCGGGGATGTCTCGAGCGGCTTGCCTGTTTCACCACCCGGCATCCTCAGCGTTCGGAGCGGAGTTTGAGGATGTCTCGAGCGAGGCGGTGATTTTCGCACACCCAGGGGAGAGCCGCCAGGGGGTATCGCGAGGGCCCGTTCGCGCCCAAATTGCGGGGACGTTTTGAGCGGCTTGCCTGTTCCACCACCCGGCATCCTCCGATGTTGGAGCAGACGTTGAGGATGTCTCTAGCGAGGCGCTGGTACTCGCACCCCCAAGGGGGACCGCCAAGAGGTATCTCACTCGTCCGTTAGCGCCCGCGGGGATGTCTCTAGCGGTTTGCCTGTTTGCGTGCTCAACATGTTCCGTATTCGGAGCAGATTTTGAGGATGTGTCGGGCGAGGTGCTGGCTTTCGCACCCCAGGAAGCCCAAAGTGAGAGGATGTCTCGATCGGTTTTCCTATTTTGGTGGTCAGACTCGTCTGCGTTCAAAGCTGATTATGAAGATGTCTTTGGTGAGGCGCTAGCTTCAGCACCCCAAGGGGCCCAGATTGCGAGGATATCTCCGACTCACTTATGCTCAAACTCACTCGTGCTCAGATGCACTCGTATACTCGACATACCCACATTCAGACTCACTCACACCCAGACTTACACACACTCAGACTCACTCACACTTGGACCCACCCACCCTCAGACTCCCTCGTAGTCAGACTCACTCGTACTCCGACCCACTCAGACTCAGACTCGTACTCATTTTACTCATACTCATAATCACTCACATTCAGACTTACTCACACTCAGAATTATTCACCCTCAAGACCCATCTACCCTCATTTTCACCCATTATGAGACTCACTCGTACTCACACCCATTCAGACTCAGACTCGTACTCATTGTACTCATACTCTGACCCACTGCCACCAAGACTTGCCCACACTCAGACTCACTCTCACTCAGACTCACTCATACTCATACTTACGCATTCTCAGACCCGCTCGCACTCAGACTCTCTCATACCTATACTAGCTCTTACCCACATTCAATCACATCCGAGTTCACTCACATGCAGAGTCACTCACACTCAGATCACTCATGCTCAGATTCACTCGGACATCTCTACTTTGGTGGTCCAACGCCCCCTCGCTCTTCCACTGGTGTTTCCCTCATCTCTCCTGGAAGATGCCCAGAGAAGGAGGACGTCACTGAAGTGGTTGCTGTCGCCGTCGTCATTTTCGCGCCCGTCGTCCACGTTGACTCGCTCTCACACCCAGGTGCTCTCAGACAGAGTTCTTCAGGGCGTGACAGGAGTATGAGATGCACAAATGGGCAGCTCCACGCAGTGAATAATTTTGCATCGTCGGATCTCAGAGGGGAGCGGCTTTCTCGAAGAGCAGGGGGGCTCCTTCCCGGACGTCCTCTCGCGTCGTGAGGGAAGTCGCGGCGGGAGGTCTCTGGCAATCTTCGGCCTCCGGGTGCCCTCACCGGGCCCCGGCACCGTCAAGGAACGGCTCAGGACGAAAGGCAGGTCCAGGGAGGGGGTCCAGACCTCTGGGGAGCCACGTCGAGTCTGGGAAGAGCAGAGGGCTTCCTTGCCGGGGCTCGGAGGCGTCTCGGACGGGCAACAGCAGCCACGACAATGCGGTCATGCACGAGCACCTGGAGTGCGTCTCTGCTCGAGGTCGAGATGGAAGCTCTGCTCTGGATGATCAGACCACTGATCGGCTGTGGCTCGCAGACGGCAGCAGGGCTCCTATGAGGTCTCCTACTCCCTTCGGTGGACGAGCGCGTTCCACTACGCTCGCAAAGTGACTACTCGCAAATGGCCTGGATCCGGTGCGGGGGATTTACGATACATCACACAAAGGAAGACATATGTGTTTCGGACGTTTGCGAGTAGGCACTTTGCGAGTAGTGGAACGCGCCCGGTGATTCGGAGGCTGGCGCCCTCGCCCAACAAGTGGAGGCCACCAGGGCGTCTGCGCTGGCTGGGCCCCGACAAAAAATCAGTCAAGAGGGGGCGAGGGCGAATCCGCTCCGAATCGGTCCCGCGACGAGGGGGCACCTTCTCCCCCTTCCCGGTGGCCGGAACCAGTGCTGGGCCACCGTGCTGGGCCACCTCGGCCCCCCGAGCAGGCTCCAGGGCCCCCGTCGCCACCCCCGCGCGCGCAGCCGAGCCTGGGGCTCCGTCGCCGCCCAGGGCAGGCGCAGCGCGGGAAAGAGGCCCGCCACGGTCTCCTCCCACCAGCCCGCCGCCCGGGCCGCCGCGGAGCCCAGCGCGCCCGTGGCGTTGCCCGTGTACTGCCGCTCCGCCACGCCCAGCCTCACCATGTTCGGGGAGCCTCCGAGCACGGGGTGGCCCTGGGCGGCCTCGTCCGCGACCCCCGCGAACAGCAGGAAGGCCAGGAGCACCACGGCGGCCCACAGCAGGCAGCAGACGCAGCCGCAGGAGACGCACCTGCCCTTGTGGCCGCTCTGGCTGTGGTAGGTCGCCGCCTCGTGGTCCGACGAGGGGAGCGGCTGGTACCCGGGGCCGGTCCAGGACGGGGTGCCGTCGTGCGCGTGGGACGTCTGGCTGGCCAGGGCGCCGGGCGGCGGCCGCGGGTGCCCGCAGGCGGCGCACTCCTCGCCGCGGGCCCGGCTCCGCGCCCCCGCCCCGCCCCCCCCGAGAGCAAAAGTCCGGCCCCTGCGCCGAGACCTGCGACGCCGTCGGTGTGCCACCCTCGCCCGGGCGGAGGGAGGCTCCCGCCACCCGCGGCTCTCGCGAGCCGCGCGCGCGGGCTCCGGGGCCGTGCGGTGAGCTCGGGAAGGGAAGCTGCCCCCAGGAGAGGCGTCGGGGCCGCTGGGGCCCCGACAAGCACATCGGGAGAGAGCACGGCGTCGGCTCGGTGCGGCGTCGCGGTGCTGTCACCGCGGCGTGGGCCCCGGGAGCGCTCGGCCTGGTCCCCGGGGTGGGTTTCTCGCGCCGCGGGTCGTTCTCTGACGGCCCCCCCCGATGGTCTCTGACCGTCCTCACTCTTGCCGCTGCACCCGCAGGGGTGTGGGCGCTCCTGTTTGTTCCCCAAACCACTGAGACGCGCACGGCGTCGACCGACTGAATATGACACCTTCGCAAATGACAGAAATTGGACTCGGAAGGAACGTTCCAACTATCGCTACCGTTCGAAACTTCCAAGATATACCATTCAATAGTATGGGTCCTCCTCCTCATCATCATCCTGCTCATCATCATCCTCATCATCACCATCATCAGCATCAGCATCAGTAACAGCATCATCATCCTCATCATCATCATCATCAGCAACATCAGCATCATCAACATCCTCGTCAGCATCATCATCATCATCATCATCATCATCATCATCATCATCAGCAGCAGCAGCAGCAGCAGCAGCATCAGCATCAGCATCTGCATCAGCATCGCCATCATCATAGTCATAGTCATCTTCATCTGCATGTTTATTTGCATAGTAATATGACTATGCTCTCCGACGTCTTGATGTTGTCTATGATTGAGCCCCAGGCCCTTCGGCCACATCGCGAATGGTAAGAATTCTCCCTGGCCAGCGGACCAGCGCCCAGAGACGCCCTCAGAACCACGAGGTGTTCCAGCCCGCTTCGCCTGAGACATCCTCGCTGCGCGAGATGCTCCAGCCCGTTTCGCCCGAGACCTCGCAAGCTCGGGCTCCAGGATGCCGCGCGCGAGGTGCTCTGGCCTGTTTCGCCCGAGACGTCCCCACCGACTGGAAGGATGTCTCCGACGGGAGCGCCAGGCAGGACACAGCACGGAGGAAGTCTCGAGCGAGAACTCGGCGAGGAAGGAGGCAGGCCGGCCGAGAAGGGAGGAGGAGGAGAAAAACAGGGCCAAGCCCACACGGCCTGCTTGATCACCCTGCTGCTGTCGAACTGTGCTCTGCCCCTCTCCCAGCCGCCGTCGAAGTCAACGCGCAGGGCACAGGGAGTCACTAGAAAATCCGTGAATCCTTGCCTCTCTGGCCGATAAGGAGGACAACGGGGACGACGAAGAGGTCGATCAAAATGATGATTATGAGAAGAAGATTAGAGATATGATACGGAAAGGACGATGAGAAAGATGATTTTGAGGACAAGATGCGGAAGATTATACGTAAGAAAGGACGATGAGGAAGATGGCCTTTGGGGAGAACAATGAAGAAGACGGCCGATGGGAAGAACGAGGAGGACGACGACGAGGACGATGAGGAGGATGAGGAGGATGAGAAGGACGAGGGAGGACGCGAAGGACGGTGGGGAAAAAACGGCTGCACAGTGTGGAGCACGGCGTCGAGAAAAAGACAAAGACAAAGGAAAAAGGAAACAGGTGAGTGAGACGAGGAGGTTCAGGAGGTGGAGCAGGACGAGGAGGACGAGGATAATGATGATGACCACGAATCACGAGTAAGGCTCGTAATTCAATTACCCTCGTGAAGAAAAAACGAAACTAGATTAACGCGCGGCGCCTATGTTCAGGACCGCTCAATGCGCATGAACAGAATGACGGATTTGTAATACCACTGAACGCTTCGACAAATGACGCAAGGCCACACTCAACTGAGCGGACCGAGGCGAAATGGGCGAGTCGACACCATGCGGACGCAGCCACTGGGGCCTCCGGAGGAGCTCCCTATGGGGCCACGACGTCTGTGAGGGGTCTGCCGAAATGGGGCGGATCACCTTGTGAACCTGGCCACTGCGTGCGAGGGGTGTGCCGACATGGAGTAGGCCACCATGTGAACCAGGCCACGGGGTCCTTCGGTGGAGCTCCCTGTGGGGCCGCGAAACGTCTGAAGGATCTGCCGAAGTGGGCGAGTCACCATGTGAACCCGGCCACGGGGGCCTTCGGTGGAGCTGCCTTTGGGGCCACGAAAAGTGCGAGGGATCTGCCGAAGTGGGGCGGGTCACCATGTGAACCCAACCACTGGCGCCTTCGGTGAAGCTCGTCTTGGGGCCACGAAACATGTGAGTGGTCTGCCGAAGAGAACCACTGGCGCCTTCGGTGCAGCTCCCTGTGGGGCCACGAAGCGTGGGAGGGGTGTGCCGAAATGGGGCTGGTCACCGTGTGAACCCAGTCACTGGCGCCTTCGGTGGAGCTGAGCCAAAATGGGGCGGGTCACCATGTGAACCCAGTCACTGGCGCCTTCGGTGGAGCTCCCTGTGAGGCCACGAAACATGTGAGGGGTCTGCCGAAATTGGGCGGCGATGATGCTGACGACGACGATGAGGATGATACTAATGACAAGGATGAGGAGGAAGAGGAGAGAAGAGGAGAGGAGAGGAGAGGAGAGGAGAGGAGAGGAGAGGAGTGGAGAGGAGTGGAGAGGAGAGGAGAGGAGAGGAGAGGAGAGGAGAGGAGAGGAGAGGAGAGGAGAGGAGAGGAGAGGAGAAGGAGACGCGCGGCGCTGCGAATTCAAAACGCGGACCCAACGCACAGGGCTGGGAAAAAGAGGAAAACCGGAGGATGAGGATGAGGAGCAGGAGGTGTAGGAGCATAGAAGGAGGATGGGAAGGAAGAGCATCAGCATGAGTATGAGAAGGAAGAGGAGAAGGACGAGAAGGAGGACGAGGAAAGGAGCAGGAACAGGGGGGAAGAGGGGAGAAGGTGGAGTGGAAGGGAAAGCGCGGAAGAAGGCTGGCGATGATGAGGAAGATGAAGAAGGCGAAGATGGCGACGATGTGCACGTCGATCAAGAGCAGGAATATTAGGACGGCTCGAAGGACGTGCGAACAGTCTTAGAATCCACTCAGGCAGTAAAACGCTGTTGGGGCAATTCGGGGTACTGGAAGCCGCAGACCCCCGCTTGCCAGGGGTGCGAGGACGTGTGAAATGATTGGTGGACCCCCTCGACATTCCCTGCTGCCCCCCCCTCTGGGGCCTGGGGAAGGCACGAGCTCGTCAACGCCCGAGAGAACAGGGCCCCAATACGGGCCAAGAGAACCCCAAGAGGGCCTCATGACAGGCCAAGAGGGCTCCGAGACGGCCCAGGAGCGCTCCAAGACACCCAACACGTCCTCCAGACGTCCCAAGAGGCTCCGAATACACCCCAAGAGCACTCCAAGAGACCCCGGAAAAGCCAAAATCATCATTTTGTGATGCATCTTAGTGGTATCGCCTTTTCGGCCTTCCGACGCCCCAGGCCGGCCCAAGAAGCCTCCAAGATCGCCCGAAGACGGCCCGAAGAGGCCCCCGAGACGGCCCAAGACGGCCCCAGGAGAACCTCAAGCCCCAAGGGGGGAAACAAGAACCGACCTTTCGAGCCCTCCGCACCAAGATGCTAAATCCACGACCGCCACCAGGCCCCTGGGAGGCCCCCCAAGAAGCACCGGAAGGGCCCCCGAGGCCCAAAGGAGCCCCGAGAGGCCCCCGAGAGGCCCCCAAGAAGCCCCAAGACACCACATTACCGCCTCCTGGAGGACGCCATGAGCATGCATACTTGTAAATTTCATCCGACCCCTGCAGGGCTTTCGGGTCGTGCGCTGGCTCCCTCCAGCACCTCCTCCCCCAGAAACCAGCCCCGACCAACTTCGCCGTCGTCGTCCATTCCATCATCTTCCTCCCTCTCCCTTCTCCCCTGGGGTCGGCGGAATGGCATTCGCCTTTTGAAGTTAAAGCTATAATTGCCGCCCGGCAATTATCGGAGTGTCCTCAGGCCCCTTCGAACTTGCTCAACGGAGCATCGAAAATCCGCCGACCCTGTCGGCGTGGAAGAGGCTGTTCTGTTTGACTCGTCGTCGTCGTCGTGGTCGTCGTCGTCGCCGTGGTCGTTGTCGTCGTCGTCGTCGTCGTCGCCTTCGCCGCTCGCTTCCCCCCCTTTCCCCTTTCCCTGGGCCCGTCGCCGTTCCCCCCACTTTCACCGGGTGCTCCTCCTCGAGCGCGCCAGCCACAGCGAAAGCGAGCAACGTTGTATTTGAGTCGAAGGGAAGCCCCTTCCCTTTGATCCCTTCCCCGCCCCGGGAGGGGTCCCCGGAGTGAGGTCCCGGGGGGGGTCCCGAGGGGGTCCCTGGGGAGGGGTCCCGGGGGGGTCCCGGGGCAGATACGACTCCCCCTCGGGCGGTTGCGCGGCCAAGAAAACCCGCAAAACGCTGCAAAACTGCCCCCAGATACCCCCAAGACGGTTCTCGAGGGCCCCGAATCGCTGAAGCATCGGTCCAAGTCGCCAAAGTAGCCTCCAGACGGCTCAAAAGGTTTCCAGAACGCCCCAAGAGGCCTCCAAGAAGACTTCCAGGAGGGTCCTGAGGGGCAAAAATCACAGATTCCCCGTAAGGTTTTGAAGGATTTTGGCATTCTCGCCTTGTCAGCTTCCCGACGCTCCAAGACAGGCCAAGAAGTCCCCAAGACCGCCCCAAGATGGCCCAAGAGGCCTCCAAGAGAGCCCCGAAACGACCCAAGAGGGCCCTAAGACCGAACAAGAGGCCTCCAAGACAGCCGAAGAGGCCCCCAAGACAGCTCCAAGGAGGAGCCCAGACGGGGGACCCGAACGAACATTTCGAGCCCTCGGCCTGAAGCTCTCAGGAGGCCCCCAGAGGTCCCTAAGGAGCCCCCCAAGAAGCCCCAGAAAGCCCCCGAGTGACCCCCAGGAGGCCCCAAGAGGCCCCCACGAGGCTTCCAAGCGGCCCCCAAGAGCTTCCCAAGAAGCCCCCAATCCACCCCCAAGAGGCCCCCGAGAGCGCTCGTCGTCGTCGTCGACGCCATTTCAGGGTCGGCGGCACCGGCCGCAAGGCCCTCGCAATACTCGCGTGGGGACCTGGACCTCCCGAGCGGCTGGGACTTCTGGCGCTGCTCTGGAGGGGCGAATCCAATTTGGCTCCAGGAGCGGCAAAACGGCGTGATTGGCCGAAGGCCACCAGAAAGTCCTGGAGCCCGGAGGCGGCCCAAAGAGGCCACCGCAGTGCAAACAGACTGCCTTGATTTCAAGACGTCAGAGGTATGGTACCCCTGCCCATCGGTCGGACAGAGTGGATAGAAGCATGAAGCAGGAAGGCGGTGAAAGTAGATTGGGCTTCCGCCCGCCCCCTGCAGAGGAGGGAAGAAGATAAACCACCAGGCCCTTGAAGTAGGATAGCGGCTCAATTAGATTGGGATCTGGGGATCCCAAATACCTACTTCCAACGACCAGCGTGGATTCCTCCCCTCCCTCATAGCCCGCCCTCAGAACCCTCCAGGAGAGTGTTCCGAGGATACTTCGGAGTCCGATGGCAGCCCAACAGGGGCCCCAAACAAAAAACACCACATTCGAAAAACGGATCCTCTGCCCCAGACCACCGACGTCGCAATCTGTTTCACAACGTGGACTCCCACAGGCATCGCCGCATCGCCCCTTCCTCCGGGCGGGCTTTTCCATTCCGAACAAATGTCTGACCCCTCGTGGCATGTTTTTTCGGGGGCGCGCAAACATGGACTAGCGATCCATGGATTTGGCGCGCCCCCAAATGCGGCCGGTACCGCCTCGTTCGGCGGCGGAAATCCGCGATTCCCATGGCAACGGGACCCGTCACTAATCCACGCCCCAGCAGTCCATGTCTGCGATCGCCTGAAGATAAAAGGTCTGGGATCCTGGGTCCTGGATCCCCCTCCCCTTCAACCATACACGTCTTACCAATCGCCCTGTGTGGTAACCCCTCTTGTGATCAGTTGGTTTTGCCGATTGCGACTCGGCCTCGCATGAAGTTCCGATACTGCTGCACGACAGCGCCAAAGCCTCATGACTTAGCTCTTCCATGGCCCATTCATTCTCCGAGAGAGGGGGCCGGCGGCAGGGGGCGAAGCCCTTACGGATAAAAGGTCTGGGATCCTGGGTCCTGGATCCCCCTCCCCTTCAAAGCCGGCCCCCCAAGACATCTCTCCGGGGGTGCGTTCCAGCCAGAACTTCGAGGAGGGGCCAGCCGCGGCAACGACGGCGGGCGACCCGCGAGGGCCACGAGAAAGAGAGAGAGAGAGAGAAAAAAAAAAAAAAAAAAAAAAAAAAAAAAAAAAAAAAAAAAAAAAAAAAAAAAAAAAAAAAAAAAAAAAAAAAAAACGTCCTCCTCCTCCAGCTGGGCCTTGCACGTCGGAGGTGAATTCACCAGATGGCGCAACTACCGCCTGTAGCACACTGCGAATCAGGGCACAGCTGTGGAACAGTGGGACGCCAGGCAGAAACGATGACGGCAACGACGGTGACGAGGGGGAGGGGCGGAGCAGAAGGAAGAGGACGAGGAGCGGGGGAGACTCCACATCCCACAACATCTAGAAACCTGTTTCCTCGATCCTCCGTCCTGGGTCCTGGTCCAAAGATCGGCCCCTGGACCCGTCTGGAGTTGCTTTCTGGCCAGAATATCATGGCGCTTCCAGCCGTGGACCAGGAAAGCCTCCCAGAGGCCCACGAAGACCCACAAGCTCTCGAAAGCCGCCGCCCTCGAAGTTCGGTCCTCGATCCTCGACACAAAAAAGATGGAAGCCAAGGCGTAGAGGAGGGGTCTTGCATCCACCTCCCCCCTCACGAGGGACAGCGTCGGGGGGGACCAGCTCGGAGGGGGAACATCGAGCTGGAATCGGCCGTACATCGCCGATACATCGACCATGGGCTCCCGATAGTAGACCCGCACGTTCCTGGGCAGGGCGGGGCGATCGGGCCCACCTGGGCGGTCAATGAGCGACTGGGGACACACACACACACACACACACACACACACACACACACACACACACACACACACACACGCACACACACACACACACACACACACACACACACACACACACACACGCCTGAGCCTGTCCCTCCCCCTACTACGTTACCCCTGAAGCCTCCCTTCCCGGCGGCGCGATCTCCTCCGCGCTCGCCTCGTTCTCGAGGGTGCACGTGGGGCACGCCCACTTGCGCCCAGCCCTCTGGCGCCGCGGTCGGGCTGGCCCGCCCCTGGGGCCCGTCACGAGGAACAAGCACGCGCACGTCTGGGCGCCGAGGCGCGATCCCGTGGATGCGGCATGTGACGACGGACGCGTCTCGCCCGGGGGGCATCCGCGCAGGGCCGCCTTGTGCCCACGCGGTGGCGGCCTGGGCGTCCAGACCGCGAGGCCGGAGACATGGCCGTAGTTCTCTCGCCCACGAGCCAAGGGGGGCCCCGGGCCCCTCGCGCCGTGAAATCACGACCGAAGGTCTCTTGACAAGGTTCGGTGAGGAGGAAGTTCAATGATGGAGATTGTTCGACGCTCTTCACAGTTTTTGGGCTACGGGAGGCCGCGGCTGGGATTTCCTCGAATTTCAGGCCCCAGCGCATCTGAGTGTCACTGATCCCTTGGCGTCGCGACAAGAAAAACACGACGGAGGGTAATCCCACCAGCCCTCATGGCGACAGGTGGTCTAAGCAGGTTTTTTTCTCTTCCCCACAACCCCATTTTCCTTTCGGGAAGTGGAACCCTCCCCCTCTCCTCCCTGAGGTTTTTGTTGGAGCTGTCGCGAGGTGTCAGAAGCTACTGTTTCAGCCAGTGGGAGGGCCAATTCTTGACACCACTCACGAGGATCGTGGCCCCCGAGGGGGGGACGAACATCGAGGACCCCCCTGTTTTGACCGACCGCCTCCAAGATAGCCCCAAGAGGCCCTGCAGGGCTCCCAAGAGGCCCCCAAGAGGGTCCCACGAGCGCCCCAAAGAGGCCCCAAGAGGGCTCCAAGAGGCACCCGAGAGGCCCCAAAGAGGTCCGCAAAAGGCCCCCGAGTGGCCCCCATGCGGCCTCAGAGAGCCCGAGATGACCTCCAAGATGGATCAAGATGGTCCACGCTGGCTCAAGATGGCTCCCGAGATGCCCCAAGAGGCCCAAAGACCGCTCGAAGACGGCTCAAGATGGCCACGAAGCCTCCCCAGGAGGATCAGCATTCCCTCGCTGTTTGACTTTGTGCGTCTCCTCGGCCGGCCGGCTCCCTCGCTGTTTGACTATGCGACTATGCGCGTTTCTCATGGGCATCGTTTTCCTGGATGGGCTGGTGGGGACATTTTTTTTTTACAGCCGCGGGCGGAAGCGCCAGCGGCGGCGAGTAACGGTCGGGCTGCGGCCGATCTTAATTGGCCGAAGAGCTGGCGGGGATACAAATTACCGACGGCTAACGCGCGCGACTAGGCGGCCGCGGCGGCGCCGGATACAGCAAGCAGCAACTGCGGCGAGGGTGAGGCTGATCCCAGGGAGAGCTGAACCCAGGGCGGAGCTGCAAGGTGACCCAGGGACACCCAGGAAGCACCAAATTAGCCAAACCTGACACGCGCTGCCAAAATGGCGCGAATCTGAAGAGGCGCCAGTAGAAGCGTCGCACACCGACAGATCAAGTAATGACCGCTCAAAGGTAGGTAAACCTGCGCCCCATCAGCAATCCTGTGCACCGTGGTCCACGCAAAGCATAGCAAGACCTGTGAATACAAGGCAATGCAACCGAGCAGGATGGACCACACCCAATGCCAAAGATGTACCCAGGGTGCTCGTGCGCAGCCAATGGCGAGTGACACCGGGACAATGAAGGCGGCGCCAGCGGATGCGACGCACGACCAACAGTCATCCAAAGTGCGCCACCTGTGACACCTGTGGACCTGTTGGCAACGCCAGGAGCCAAGTAGGATAGACCACACCCGACCCTGTCGCGACCGCACAGAACCTCAGCTGCATAAGGCTGCCCGCTGGAAGGCCGGGTCACGGCCACACCAGGAGAAGCCAGAGTGAATAAGGGTGAAACAAGGGGGGGCGCGCCCGCGGCTTTAGGTGACGACCGTCCACTGTTTCTGGTCCTTCCTGGGTGCGCGGCGATCAGCGTGGCCCTTCGCCGCCTGGCGCCCCCTGCCCGCGCCGCCACTTCCACCCAGGTACCGAAGCCGCAACTGCGCCCAGTCAACGCCGAGGTCCAGCGCGTCGCCCATGGCCCGCACGTCGAAGTTATGGCTGCGGAAGGAGGACAGGAAATTGACGCACGCATGCTGGTCGCGCCGCCGCGGGTCGAGCGCGCCTTTGCTGCCAGGCCTGGCGTGCTGCTGGGCGAACGCGTGCCGGGCGCCTGTGAACCTCGCTCCCAGGGTGACCTGAAGACGCTTTATCGTCTCGCCAGGTGTCTCCCCGGGGGGGTCCCACAGGACGCCGCCGATCTTAGCTTTATATAGCTGCTGTCCCGTGTCTGGGTCTAAAGGTTCTGGACAGTGACGCGCGGCGGGGCCCACTACCAGGGGCGGGGTGGTCAGCGGCTGGTCCTCGGCGCGGCGCCTGCTGCTGCTTCTGCGGCTGCTGCTGCTGCGTCCGCCGCCTGCCGTCTGCCGCACACCAGACCCGCCAGCGCGGTCGGCGTCGCTACGGGCCAGGTTTCGGCCCAGGGGCGGCGGGGAGACTGGAAGGTCGCCAGTCACAGAGGCTAGGCAGGGCGTCCACCTGCTGCCACGAAGACTCGCTGGGGAAACGTTCCGGCCGCACTGCCGTTGCTCCTCGCCGCTCGAGCTCGCGCCATTGCCAGGGAGGGAGGGGCCAGGGCAAGTAGTGTCAGCCAGGGGAGTGTGGCGGTGGGTGGTTGCCTGTTCCTGCTCTTGCCCATGCCCCCATTCCTGCGCTGGCGCCACTTCCGCGCCCTCCCCGTGGGCGGCCGGCAGCTCCTGCTCATCGGGCTCTTCCGGCTCCTGCTCCGCATGCTGCTCACGTTCGCTGCACTGCGACTGTTCCGACCGGTTGGGCCCGCCGCCGGAATCGTCTATGGCTTCGCGAGGCGCGGCGGCTACTGGGGCACGGAAGCCTGGCGGGGACTTGCGGGTTGGCGCGGGCCGCACGGTTGGCCGCCAGGTAAAGGCCGAGTAGCCTCCAGCAGCTGGGGCGGAGAGGAACGCTGCACTGTGGTAAGCGGGGGCAGGCCCCCCCCGTCGGCGCTCGCCTTCAGACCCGCGCCCGCCCTCGCCCACAAGCGCGCCCCCATCTGTCGCAGCGTGATTTTCGCCATGCGCGGGAGTGCTGCGGGTCGCACCTGGCCCAGGCACGTTGTCAGACACCGTTTCTTTCGCCAGGACGGGAGTTGCCTTCCTCAGCGTGGCCCGGCCTTCGGGAGGGAGTGGCTGCGGTTCGCTGTCCGTTCGGGCGGATTCGCTGACAGGGGAACGAGGGCGAATGGGCGCGAAGGGCCTTCTCTCGACAAGCTGGCGGATGGCATCGATGTCCTGCCTCTGCAAGGCATTTTCGCGGTTCCCCAGCGAGGGGTCTTCGAGAGTACCAGGGACGGCGGCGGGCGGAGTCGCAGCGGGGCGTTGTTGGGCGTCGCCGCCAACCAGATGCATCGACAGCCCCAGGCTTTGCAAGTAATGGGCTCCGCATCGGCCGTCGGCCACGGGGATGGCCTCGGAGGCGCTGGCTGGAGGGTCTGCGCCGATCGCAAACACGCGCCCGCCCGTGGACCGCACGCACCTCCAGGAGCCAAGCGAAACCTCCAATCGTGAGCGCCGAGGGCCGCTGTCAGTCACACTTTCGCGCACTCCCACGACGCGAGAACTGTAACAACTGACGGCCGCGTTTGGATGTACGACATCCTGGCTGTCTGTTGCGCTCGGAATGTATCCGATTTCCGCAGTGCCGTCCGCGGCATTCCGAACTGTCGTCGCGATGCCGTTGCCAGGAGAGCGCGCCATTTCGGGCGCATATTCGGCGTCCGCCAAGACTCTGCCCCCAGGGCGCTGGTAGGAGTGAGGAGACGCAATTTCGGCCGCATCTTCCGCCTCAACAACGAGACCGCCCCCCGGACGCTGATAGGAGTGAGGGGTTGTAGGAACGCCTGCGTGGTTGTCTCCTGGAGGGGAAGGCACCGGCGCGCTGCGGCTGACGACCACCTGTTCGGTTTGTGGCTCTCCCAGGGGACTATTGCAGCTGAAGGCCGCACGTTCCTGTGTGAACTCCTGACTCTCTATGCTGCGAGGAGGCTCGAGATATCCTCCACCATCCGCTCGGAGAAACGTCGTGGACATCCTCTCGGGAAGAGGCTGGTCTCCGAGCGCAGGCGCGCCCTCCGCGGCATCCCCGACTGTCGCCACGATACTGTTGCCAGGGGGGCACGCAATTTCGGCCGCATCTTCCGCCTCAACACCGAGACCGCCCCCGGGACGCTGATAGGAGTGAGGGGTTGTAGGAACGCCTGCTTGGTTGTCGCCTGGAGGGGAAGGCACCGGCGCGCCGTGGCTGACGACCACCTGTTCGGTCTGTAGCTCTCCCAGGGGACTACTGCAGCTGATGGCCGCACGTTCTGGCGAGAACTCCTGACTGTCTACGCTGCGAGGAAGCTCGAGATATCCTCCATCATCCGCTCGGGGAGGCGTCGTGGACCTCCATTATGGAGGAGGCCGGTCTCCGAGCGCGGGCGCGCCCTCTGCGGCATTCCCGACTGTCGCCACGATACTGCTGCCAGGGGGGGACGCAATTTCGGCCACATCTTCCGCCTCAACAACGAGACCGCCCTCGGGACGCTGATAGGATTGAGGGTCTGTAGGAACGCCTGCTTGGTTGTCTCCTGGACGGGATGGCACCGGCGCGCTGTGGCTGACGACCACCTGTTCGGTTTGTGGCTCTCCCAGGGGACTATTGCAGCTGAAGGCCGCACATTCCTGCGTGAACTCCTGACTCTCTATGCTGCGAGGAGGCTCGAGATATCCTCCACCATCCGTTCGGGGAGGCGTCGTGGACCTCCTTTCGGGAGCAGGCCGGTCTCCGAGCGCAGGCGCGCCCTCTGCGGCATTCCCGACTGTCGCCACGATACTGTTGCCAGGGGGGCACGCAATTTCGGCCGCATCTTCCGCCTCAACACCGAGACCGCCCCCGGGACGCTGATAGGAGTGAAGGGTTGTAGGAACGCCAGCTTGGTCATTTCTTGGAGGGGAGGGCGCCGGCGCGCTGT